TGAGGTGCTTTTGATTACCCAGGACATCTGTCCGGGGCTGGCAGATATGAGACGGGACCTACAGGAGACCCGCACCCTTCTGGTCTGGTGGCTGCAGGCCAGGCAGGATACTGAGAGCATCCCAGGTGGGATGCATTTAGGGAACTAAATCAAGCCATCGCTGTCCCCAGACCCTCATGGAAGTTCATGGGTAGACAATTTCACTGGAGACTCCCAACTCCACACATCTCAGTACTGCACTGAGCTCCATCCGAACTCGTTTGCAGTCACTTTACTGTTCTGTGGTATTCCTGCTTTGAAATCCCCTCAGCAACTTTTCTTGTTATCGTTCACCGTAATTACTCTACACTAAACATATGGTTCTGTTTCCCATGAGTTAAGGCTACAAGTAGGGACTGTGGTCCTTGTTTTCAGAGGATTAATATTTCCAGTTCTGTTGAAAAGATACCGTGTCAAGTATGGTTTGCTCTCCTCCAACTGAGGAGGATAAATGCACTGACAGGTGGCAAAAGGCATATTTTATGAGTGAGAAAATGAAATAAAACAAATGAAAATGCACAATGTTTTCTTCTGTTGTCAGTGGAACGGTAGGTTTTATTATGCCTGTATGCACTGGGAATATTAGCTCTGATCTGCAGAAGTGCAAATTAAACTGCTGATTTAGATGATCATATTTCATGCATAGTAACTTTACAGGCTTTGACTTTCTTTTTCATTGTATGTAAAACCTTTATGAGTTATTAGCCTTTTTTTTTGTCAACTATATTTTAGAAGTGAGAGGTTTATTCCTGCTATTACATTAAAGGAGGCATTTTGCTGCTAGGAGAGTTTAGCGTTTTATTCAGCTGTGATAACTTTCCATTATATTCTAGCATGAAGCACAATTAAGACAGAAATGTTCAGTAGTTTTATTATGCCCTTGTGTGAGGAGCTGATCTTTTTTCCCCACTTCATTTTTTCAGGGATTCCTGAAGGATTTTACAGACTCTACACATTTGTCTAGCACACTCTGTGGTGGCATAAACAAAGAATACGGGGGCTTTGGCTTTTATACTTTTAGTAATTCCACTTTTCTCTTATGGCAAGTTTCAAGAGCACTGGAATTTCCTGGTTAATATTCTGGGCTTATGGGTAAATTTTGCTCACATTAATTTGGGCAATTCGTTACTTTGGTGGGTAAGCAGGGGCACAGAGTACTGGGGTTTTCAAACAAACGTATTTATTATTTCAAGGAAAATTTTCTTTACACAGAACAACGCACAGGTTCACCTCCTGAATTACCAGTGGGAGACAATCTCTGATGAATGCCATTCAATAAAAATGGCATAAAGCTTTTTTTCCTCTGTAGGAAACCAGCAAACGTTCCTAAGGAAGCAATTTCATTAGTAACTTTTCAAACACTGGTGTTTTGTTTTAGGCTGGCTTCCTATGGAAACACACTTGTGGGCTTTTGTTGCCTTGGGTCTTGCCGTCTGGTTGTTCCCTCTCATAACTTGTGAATCTATTTGCTGATTTCGATTGAATTTGATAGAGTAATTGAAGACTCAGAGATAGCAGCTGCAGTGAGGACGTCTAGCTCATTACCCTGCCTCGGACAGCGGCTATGGACCCAGGGAACATCTCCTGTTACTTTCCCAGGATTATCCCCCAGCATCTGGTGCTGGAGGCTCACAGACGTCCTCAGCCACAGCTGGTACCTTTGTGTCTCGTGATCTCCTTTCCTACAGAAACAAGGCAAATCTCATCCTGCTCTGCTTGCACGTGGCACATTTAAAGTAGAAAAAAGAGACCCTCTAAGTAACCCGGCTGAGGGAAAGCTGCAACATGAGCAGTTATCACTTACTGGACTTTATTAAAGTCACTCTCCCCATAGGTTATTCAGCACATTTTGTCCTTTGTCTTTCTATTCCTTAGGCCTGGATTACATTATGATAAAGTGTTGTGAGTAAGGAGAAGCCTGAAGCAGACAGTCTGATATTTTCTCATTTTCCACCTTGCCTCTTGGGCATTGGCCAAGTAAACTGCCACAGAGACCGGCACATAAACCTCCCTTCCCCGAGACAGTCCTGTAGGAAGAAGCCGAGGAACTGAAACATCCACAGCGGCAGGCTTCACGCTGCTCCGTAATTTATTGTGACAGCCACACAAAACCATCTCCTCGGTGATGCGGGTGAGAAGAAAGCGCCTGGGCTGATCTTGTGTGTGTCGGCAGGCTAAAGCCTTTCACAGCATCTGCCCTGCACCCAGTTCTGCAGCTTCCAGCCCATCCCAGGAGATGGAGACGGTCACCTCCTGGCTCTCCCAGCCCAGGGGACTTTGGACTGGGCGCGCAGTGACTCCCTGCACTGACAGCACTTCTAGTCCCAGTATTTTCCTAAGGCTGCCTACAATTTTCCTTTAGAATCACCAGAATCAAGCAGTTTAATGGTACCCCAAAGTGTCACTGACAATACTAGCTGCACTTGCCACAGGGACTCTTGGTCCCCATTATTTTTTGCCACAATCTTCTCATGATGACTGAGTATTATAATCTCTGGGATCCCTACAGGCTATCATTAAACTGCTGGTAGTCGGTATTGGTGATTGGTTTCCCCTGAGTATGCAGAGTATTTCTTGGCAGATAAGTACACTTTTTTTGCCTTGAACAATGGAAGAAATGAAATGTACACTGAATTTCTTTCCCATGGGTTGTTTATATTTCAATACACAATGATAATTTATACAAGAAAATGTAACATTCCTGATTACATGCAGCATTTAAGAAAACAGTCAGACTCTTCCAATGTGAAAAGAACAAAATAACATAGGAGATGGGGGACTGTTTTCATGTTGATTTTGACTTCTGAGTCATCAAGCTGGGAGAAAGCCCTGTGGCAAAAGTACTCACCCTATTTGGAGGGTGAAAATAAACTGAAAATAAACACAAACTGAAAAGGAAAGACAGCTACAGGGCCCTTTCCCTCTCCATGCTAATCATTAAGTAGCCAGGAAAATCCATGGCAAGGTGCAACTGCTTCCAAAAAAAGGCACCTGGTGAAAGGATCCCAAATGTGTGTTGTGGGGGGATGTAGAAGTCCCTCCTGGTCTGAGAAAGCACCCCAACAGAAGGCAGGGACATCGGAGATAACCGAAATCCTTGTTGATGTCCCATGCCAGGCACCGGCCTGGGAACAACCGTGGGAAGAGCGGCTTTCTCGGCTGGAAGAAGGAGCTTTATTAGGTTGTAGCAAAGAACTCGGGCCACGTAAAGCCAAGCTGTGTGGTTTGGCCACTCGGCCGGCGTGTCTCAGTCTCTTCCTGCTGTGTCTCTTCCAGCACAGGTGGAGAGCATCAGCGTCTTCCAGAAGTGTGTCCCTGCTCCCTTCGCTGACTATACAGAGGAGCCGGGCTCCCTGTTTAAGTGCTCAAATAAACCCCTGCTTAAGTGCAATGAATAAAATCCTTAGTCTCACCCTTTGCTTCGCTGCCAAACTTCCTCAAGCAAAACTTTCCAGGCTTCCAGCCTTGGACCTGAAGACACACTAGCAAAATTCCTCTTTTGCTCTCTGAAATTATCTTGCTTTATAGCTGCAGAATCAGCTCTATCTGGGATTTTACCCTGTTCTGCATTTGCTGCCGCCCCACATTCTGCATCTACCACCTTCCCTAGGAGTTGCTGCTACCTCTTCACGTGGAGCTGACGGCTCATGGAAGTGCCAAGCTGTCAGTGTGGGAGGCTGGGCCTCTTTTTGGATCCATTGCTTTCAGTGACGATATTTCTCACCATTTTATCAAAAAGTTCTAATAACATTTGGTGGTCTTCCCACAGTGCCGCACCCTGCAGCGGGTCTCCCTGAGCCACACAGCCCTCTCTGGGGCCTCACGTTGTGTACAAAAGACGTGACCTAAAGGGCCAAACCAGAAAAGCAAAGGCTTCAATTGCACTACATTTTCTATGTTTAAAACCTTAGTTTGGACCGAGCAGGTGTGGGGCAGGCAGCGCTGCAGGCGTGGTACAAGCTTCTCTGCTGCCTGGTGTTACCTGTGCTCTGAACAGGAGCATCCAGGGCATGAAGCAGCAGGAAAGAGCTTGGTATTTCACCCCTGTCACTCTGCTAGGCTCTGGAAAACAGGCAGTCACATAACCATGGGGTGAGTGCAGTGCATTTTCCAGCGCATGTGGCCATGCAGCAGGGAAGAGCACGGAGAGTAGAAAAACCAGCATGTGCTTGTGTTTGTGCACATGCACAGATGTTTTGCTAACCCAGCAGTGTGCAAAGTTAGCCATCAAACCCCATAATCTTCCTCCCCTTGGCTGACCCCAGCGTGGATGCCCTTTTCTTAATGCAAGACATTTAGCACCATGAATGATACTGGTGGTGAACTGCGCAAACCTGACAGCTGAAGGCAGAATTGTTCCTCCTGAGCCGGAGCTTTGTCAGCTCCCTGCTGGTGACTAACGCAGCAGGTAACCTTTTCTTTCTTTGTGGGGCCCTTCCAAAAGGATTCAAAATACACGTCAATCCTTATTAATGCTGTCACTCCTCCTGCAGAGGTGCTCTCCCTCAAACCCACTTTCTCTAATACAGAAACAAGAGCTTTCCAGAAAATGATGCCACACCTATAATTAGACCCGAGATACCAAACTGTCACCTGCTGATGGGAAGGCGACCTAGCAAATAGACCTCTGCCAGGATGACACAAGACATATAAACTAGCCAACGCTTAAGGTTATATACGTGGCAGTTTGCAAGGAGCTCTATCAACTGCGTCGATAGGAAGGGGGGGAAATTGCACGAAGAGCAAACCAAGTACTTACCACTCACTACTGATTTCTGAATAAATGAATATTCATTTATTTTTTTCCAAAATAAAAGACTTCGCAAAAGAAACTTCTTTTTTTTTAGCTGCAGTACAGTCACAGATATGTGGGGTCCTTTGCTTCCCCCTGCTGACACCCTGAAACGGCGCAGGGTGGGCTGTGGTTCCAGCCAACCGTGGGAGTGGGGAAACTAGTGAGGATGGGCTCCGCCGGCGAGCGCTCCCGCATCCCACAGCTCCCACGGTGCTGCTGCCGAGAGGTGGGCGAGCGGCCGGCTGGGAGGAATAGAAGCCAGCGAGCCCCCGCTGCACCCCACTGCTCACGGGCAGGGTCCCCGGGAGCTGAGCGCGGCTCCGGGGTCCCACCGGAGACGACTCTCCCAGCCGGCTGTCGCTGAAGGCTGGATTTTGCGGTTCCTCTGCCCGGTCTCCCACGGGCGCAGGTGAACGGATTCGGCACCCACCGCACTCTCAGGTAAGAGGGATTTGCTGGGAAGCGGGCGATGTGCCGGGATAAAAGCCAGTGTGGGGCTTTGTGGTTCGTTAGGAAGAAATCGGCTCTGGAAGAGGACTTTGCTCTGACTATTTTAGAAAGATAAAAAGAAACCATTCCCTCTAGCAGTCTTTACAGAAGACACCTTGCTCCGGAGGGGCTTGCTGGCCCACGTGCACCCACCGTGTCCCAGCAGAACCCCCCAGCAGTCGCTGAGTGGGAACCAGGGTCTTAGGAAGCCCCAGCGACTCTGCCTGTTGTGTTCCCCAGTGCAGAGTGGGGCACCTGAAGCTGGGAGAGGGCAGAGCTCGGTCTGAACGCCGTGGGACAAGCGTGGAGGTGGCTCTTGTTTGGGCCGACGGGTGGTGGGACCAGCGTGAAGCTGCCTTTCGGCTTCGCCGTGGGTCAGGGATGCGCCAGCCAGTCGGTGCTCCTCTTTTGACTCGTGTTACTTAAACATTTAGGGCGAGAATAACAACCAGAAAAATAGTTCAAAGCTAAAACTGGCTGAAATACAGCAAAGGAACTGGGATGGAGGGTCTGTGCTGCAGAGATTTATCACTGCTGCTTGCCAGGGACAGGGAACTGAGTTACAGCAGAAGTCAGCCGTGCGGGACACGGCACGAGTGCCAGGCGGGCAGCAGCCAGCACGCTGGGGCAAACCTGGCCACCGGCCGCTGGCCGAGGGGGCACGGGGGCCGCTGGCCGAGGGGGCACGGGACGGGGACCTGCCGGACAGGCTGGGGGAGGCACGGGGATGCTGGGGCTCTGCTGGGGCTGGGTTGCAACCCGCCACCCCGAAAAGTGGCTGCGTGGAGAAGCCCCAGCCTCCTGCGAGGGGCTCAGAAACTCATCCCCCACCTCGCTGGCCCTTGTAACCCAAGAGCAGGTCCCTTCACCTTGGGGAAATGACCCCAGGGGAGGACTAATGGGAGGAGGTCCAGAAGTTGGCTTTCGTCTTTAACTTTTTTTTCTAGTGGTGGCTGAGTTTTCCATTTCGCCTGTGACTTTCCCAACTCACCAGCAAACCGGGAGCGGGCACTGTGCGGCAGGACATCTGCCCTGCCTTTGCATGCCACCGCTTGCCGTTTCCTACGAGTTTCAGCGATCGTTTCCCTGTTTCAGCTGGGGAACAAAACTGTTCCCCAGCTGCCTGGCTGCTGAATTGCACTTTAGCACCCTCACGTATTGGCACACAGGAAATTATTGATCTTTAACACCCACAGCAGCTTCTGCAGAATCACCAAAGGGCTGGGGGAAAGGGGCAACACCTATTTAGCCAGCAAACATAATGACTTCTCTGAGGGATTTGCCAGTCCTGTAGGAGTCAAAGCCAATATCTGAGGAAGGACTGAAACCATCACCTGGTGGTGATGTGTGTTGTGTCCTTGTGTGAACACGTTTTGTATGCAGCCATCATGAATTTGCTTTCTTCATCTCACCTGTTAAAACTGCACACACAGAGCTCTGATTCACAGTCATTTCTGGGCTCCATCACTAGATGGTGACATGCTCCCAGATACTGAGTCCTCCTTCAGTTTGTCTTTTTTCCGTTAGTGTAAAATAACAGTAAATTTAGACAAAACATATGTTTTTACCCTCTGCTTATGGAAATACAGCTTTTCCAGCCACACGCAATTCCGCTCAAGAGAATTTGGTATTCAACCAATTTTTAACATGGCATTAGTTTTGTTAACATGGTTTCTGTAAGAATTACTGCTGTAAAAGTAATTCTAGTTGTGAACATTTATATAAAGACTAATATTACTGATCTCTGCATAATTTAGAACATATATGTCAGCAGCCAACACCATACTCAAAACGAATGCCTGTTTGTGCACTTTCTAGGAACAAATCTGCACCAAAAGTTTTCAAGTTTAAAATGAATGCGTCATTTGGTTGTGGAAACTGCCAGTTTCCCTTCCTCCTTCCTGTTTTCCCTGAGCATGCAACAGTGCTCATTTCCTTCCCTAAAATATTTGTCAATAGTTGCAGCCCAAAGGCTGCAGAGTATTTGCTCTTCTGAAGAATGTTTGGTGGCCGGGAGAAGGAGCATGCACTCCCCAGAGGTCAGGCACTCCTATGGAATCCATTCCAGTCCATCGTTCAGTACTGATGGAGATATCCACTGGGATTTGCAAGGCTTATTACAGCAGTACCACCCATCAAATGAGGCTTGTGGCATAGTATGAAGATGAGGGCTGGAGAAGGAGAGCTAAAATTCATGAGACACCTGATGTGATGATGCACACTAGAAACCTAGAGATATGTATGTTGGTGGATGGCTGCTACATGCAAGTGTCTCAGCATGGGTTACTGACACGGAGAGATGTCTGCAAAAGCCTCAGTCCCTGCTACTTGCTTGGCTGCTCACCAACAGGTAAAGCCAATCCTGCCTCTATTCCTGCCATCACTGCCAGGAAATAGAAACTGCAACGCCAACGTGCAAGGAGCAAACCCCATCCCATTCCTAATGGCAGCAGAGGGTCCTGTGCTGCTGCAGCTGATGGGTCTCTGGGCTTGCAGGAGAAAGCAGGCTCCCAGGAGACAGCCAGATGTGCTCAGCCACATCTGGTAGGGCTTGGACAGGCTATGGAGGGGATACGGCCACATGTCGGCTGGGTGGTACAAGTCTGTCTTTATTTTCAAGATGTGCCTGGGGCCCTGTGGTCCCTAGTAGGCTCTGGGGCAGGCTGGGCTCAGCATTGCATGATGAGAAATCCCACTGGGGTGGGTTTCATGTCAGCTTAGAACAGAATGAGGCTAAGCTTAAAATATTGCCCGTCAGTCATCAGGAAATTTAAAGAGGTTAATTTGAGGGGTGTGCAGAAAGGCAGCTCGCCCTGTCGCAGCCTTCTCCGCACACACCTTCAGCTGTCGCCCAGCTGTGTCGGTGGTAGACCTGTGGTGACCCTGGCCTGAGGCTTGGACGGTGTGTGTGTCTGTGAGCTTTCCACACTTCCATTGATGCTGGATGCTACTGAACTGTCTGGTGCTGTCTGACACCCAGGCCTTGGATGCCTAGCTGTTTGCTCATCCCTCACCCCACCTTGTAAAAATTCTTCTTTACAAAGAGCTACTTTCTAATCCAGCTACTATTTTATCAAAGGCATCTTGTTCTGGGCTCCCTGTGGTTTGCAGTTTTTATTCTACTTTCCTCTTCAGAATCTTCCTCGATCTTACAACTATTTTTATCCTCTCTCCTCCCCTTTAATTCATTTTCGCTCACTAAATAATTTTTGCAGAGGTTTGTGTAGTGAACCTTACCCATTTCACTGCGTTTTCTCGTAACAGTTAAATACACTTCATCCTGCCCCAGCTCCAATCAAAGTCAAGATAGAACCTTTCATAGTTTTCAGGAAGACAGCATTCATACTTCTCCCCCAGCCTTCCTGTGACCCCAAAGCTCTAGCATCACCAGCGGGCAAGCCCAAAGCCCAAAGCTTACCTGACTCTGTGTATGCCATGCTGCTGGCTGGATTTCTGGATGCTTTGAGTTCTTTGAGGGCAGGGAAAGCCTGACAAAGTGTGTGAGTGACTCTGAGTCAAGGTATTTAGTAAGTTCACTTTCCATAACCATATTCATTTCTGTATCTCTACAGACACCCCAAAAGCTTCTTCACAATGACTGCCGGCCTGGAGAAAGCCTGCCACCGGTGCATATCTAAAATTGCCAGCAATGGTAAGGCAGTTCTGGTGGTAATCACCTTCTGTATTTAAGCAGCCCTGTCGCTAAGCCAAGTACATAAGGGAATTAAGACGATACCAAGTCCTACCTGATTCTTCCACTGAAGTTTCCTTTTCTTCCCTCCTTTCTGAGGTATTTCCTTTCCTAGGCAATTTTGGGCGCTGATGGAGCACACAATAGTAACTCTACCCTGACAGAACCTGCCTGCCTCAGTATTGGGATTAGAGCAGACCAGTGTAAAATTTCAAACAAATACAAACACCGCTAAGTACCTAAATATGGGCTGCAGCAGACAACCTAAGCAATATAGTGTGTTTGTCTCCTGGTTCAGGTTTTACCTTACATGTAGTCCAGCAGAAATACCTGCAGGGAAAAACCACCTGGTAAAGAGCAGCTCGGCCAGCCTGGGACTGAGCCCCCCCAGGAGCAATTCCTGCAAAGCAAAACTGCTGCCAGCCTGCGTGCTGACGCGGGGACACGAGGCCAGGGACAGAACATGGTCAGGAATAGCCCCCTTTTCACCCAGAGACATTTGGAGCAGGGTCTTCTTCCCTCCGCTTGCCCGGCCCCTGGCACGAGGGTGCGGGTAGCCCTCGTAATCGGCCACGTGTTGTGGGTAGGAAGCATCAGTGATCCGAACGGAGGTCTTTCGCGGGACAGCCTGGCCTCACTCGGGCTTTCAAACAACCGGTTCGTCCCAGCCAGGGTGGAGGACGCGGAGGGGTGTAAGGAGGTTACACCTGCTGCTCTCCGAGGAGCAAGGCGGCAGAAAGCTGACCGGGGCTGGGGGCCGTACAAGCTGTGTGGAGAGGTACGGGGGAAATAGGCTTCAGGGGTGGGTTTTTGTAAAAGACCAGGGAAGCAGCATGGCTGGCAGGAGGTTAAAATCCAAGCAGCTTCCTCCCGCTGACCGCATCTCCTTTTCACTCCGAGCTGCAAGTGCCTTTTGCTTTCACTTCTAGGCAGTAGCAATTTCTAATTCCACTCAAATATGAGAAGAAAACCCCTTGACCACTCACCGTAATTGATACTTCACACACACTAATTGCTGCATTTGCCAGTCTAGGGCTGTTACCTTGGGGTCTTTTATATTCCTGCTTTCGGCTTCACTTGAAAAGCTCTCAAAGTTCAGAACGAACTTTTATTAATGATTAAGCCCCTTAACTGCTTGCTGCCTTGCAACCCTTCAGAGAAAACCAAGCCAGGGGGACAGACAGCCCTGCCCTGGGTTCAGACCAGGCCCACCCACAGGAACCTGGCACAGGCGGGGAAGAGAGGACATTTTCTGGCCCCCTTGTTTGGGCTCATCGTCGCCCCGGGGAAAGGAGGGCTGGGGAGTGATGAACGGGGCGCGGAGCACGCATTCATTACACCCCGACGAGGTGCCCTCATTACACCCCGACGAGCTCCGGGGAGCAGGACCGGGCTGGCGTGGGTTCCCTCCACCCCACAGGGGGGATTTGGGCCCGTGGGTGAGTATCACAACAAAAAAAGGCAAAAGTGGTATTTTCTCTGATTTTTGTTCCTACCGGTTACAAGCAAAATGTCACTGTTCCCTGTTGGTATTAAATTGCCTCTGGGACTTTAATGACGACAGAGAAAATAAATGATCTTTCCGAAATTTTTTTGAAAGAAAGGGGGTAGTTCTGATCTCATCTATGCTCTCTTACACCAGGAGCACCCTATGGGGTACCCACAAAGTTACCCATGTGTAAGTCAACTCAGAAATACCGTTCCAGGAAACTCATTATCTTTAGGTTTTCATTACATTTGAGTTCAAAATCAACTCAGCTTTTGCTATGGATCAGCTAGTGCATCCAAAATTGATTTTCTGTTCATTAAAATGCAAACCCTCCTGAAGTGCAGTGACACTTAATTTCACTTTTTCTCATCATCCTGTGTATATTTTTCAAAGATCATTTCAGCACAGCCCCACATTTGTACCTATGGTCTCCTGATATTGAAATGACTCCAAAAAGTCAACCTACCTGTGCAGCATCATTTAAATTCTTTTCATTCTTGGTACAGCAATTTAAGTTCAGAACATTAGGGCAGTCTTTAACTAACTGACAAAAAAAAAACCAAGAAGGCTAATCCACTACTCTGGGTCTATTGCAAAGCAAACTGGTGGCTCTTTATGTAATGCCTAAATCTTGTTTTAAAAGTACATCTGGAAATTAATCACAAGGGGCCAAATCCAGAACCTAGACCATGGCATAATTGTAGTTCAGTAGCTAGAGGCATGGCATAAAATTCAGACAAGCCACTCTGCAATATTGCCTAACCCTGAAAGCACGTACATCTGTATCTACATCCTCCCCAATCTGAAGGTTCCCAGATTACTGGCACCTCCTTATTCCACACCATGTCTGATGACAGCAGCATTGCTGCTGCCAGTGCTGGAACCCGGAACTTAAATTTTAGGTGGTGTGATGCTGGCATAGCTTATCTGGGTACTAAGGTACTATTTCACAGTAACACAACCTTGTCTAAGCAAACAGTGATGGCGTGCAGCAAACAGCTGGTGGCCCTGAGCTTGGATTTGGTCTGCACGTCAGTTTTATCACATTTCCCCTGCCTCCTATGGACGCTTTGCACTGGGGCTGGAGACCTCCGTGGGAACAGCTGCTCCTTACACCGAATCCTCCAGCTGCTGACTATCTAGTTTGGTCCAGGGATTAAATCACCCTAGGGGTGGGATTCCTGCCATTCATCCCCAGAGGCTATTCCATCTCCTTGCTGTGGCACTTAGCCTCATGGACAGAGCAATCTTCATTTCTGCTCAAGTTTATCTCAAGTCTCTACCTTCGTAGCTCTATGGATCCTTCAGAGGTTCTTTTTTGAGTGCTCAAACCTTGCTGTTATTTTCTCTCACTTGGCCATTGGCTAGCCAAGCTGAATAGATTTAATTCTTTTCCTTCAAAGTTAGTTCATTCAAGCCTTTTCTGCATATCCCATCTGATGTAGTGACACTTTCCTGTCACTCAAAAGCCCAGAAAGACATGCGGTATCCACAGCTACCAAACCCATGGGCAGACTCATCCCTGGTCTGTAAAATGCACGACCTTTTGGGAGCTGCTTCCCCACAGAGATCCACTGAGACTTGCTTTGCCACTGCAGCATCCACACACACCGCATCCTTTCTTTTCTCCAAGTCCCTATCAATACTGCAGGGGATGCCTGCAGATACTGTGAAGAAATAAAACATGGATGAAAATATCCACTCCCCATCCGCACTCCAGCCTGTTACACCACCAGCGTCCGTGCTGCTGTACAGCCCACCGTGACACTGCTTGCTAAACTACTGCGCTATCACCTGCATCTGCCTCAGGGCACGATCAGTCCTCGGGCCAGGGCAGCTGACCCGAATTTGCTCCCATCCAGACTGCTGGGAGTCAGCCCCCTTCAGAGCAGCGTTCCCACGGGGCATCCGAAGGGAGTACCGTGAGTTTACACCCGGAGTTTTGCTCCTCAGCTTGCTCACGCAGATAAATCCTGGGGTAACTGCTGAATTTGTTTGGAAGCTGGTAGCATCTCATTTGAGAAAAAAAAAAAAATCCTTTTTTATCAGGAGCCTGACAGGCTGTAGAACAAACAGCATTTGGGAGTGATGTTAATGTACACAACACTTCATTTATTCCTGTATTTATTATCAGAGAGCTTGTCACACACTCTACTGAGTAGGTTGCACTACAGCTGTATTAGCGTACTACCTAAGAAGAGTGGGTAGGTTGAAATTTATACTCATAAATCACTTCTGAAAATCCCGAGAGGACTCGTCTTACCTGAAAAGAAAGAAACTTTTTTCTATCTTCAAAGTAAACAGGGACAGCCTGAGCTCATCTGAAACTTCCAAGTGCTTGGAAAAATCATGGCAGCAAAATCAAGTCTGACGAGCCCACAGGTGAATTGGTGTCATGTCCAATACTGCCTCCAGATCCGTCCCACACGCCAGAGGACAACTCAGCTGCTGTGTGCCCTGAGGCCAGGCAGATAACTGGGGACGGGAATAAGGGAGCAGCAGAGGGAGGGGAGGAGAGCTGCAGTGCAGGGGCATGGCTATGGAGGATGTAATGGCTCAGGCGTCAGAAGAGAGACCATGACGTACAGCCATAATGTTAACGGTGATTTCGAGTTTGCTTACTTCCGTGGGGAGACCCTGGCAGGAGTAACTCAGCTAAATAACAGATTTATATCAACGGGCCATCCTGCTGGGCTGGACACACAAAATCTGCACCCGCTGATCTGACTTTTGTGCCCACAGATATCAAGGAATATGCCAGATATACAGCCTCTTGCTCTCTTCCTCTGTTGTGATCCCAGACACGAGCTCTTCTCTTCACCCATTTCCCGGCATGTCAGGACTCGCTCACTAATGCCTCCCAAAGCAGGACTTTACCAGTGCCCCACCACATGCCGCCCTGGCAGTACAGAGCATGGGGCTCTCCTGCCCGCTGCCCTGACACCAGCTTCACGGAGGAGATGTCCTTCTGAGCCATGCCTGGAAACACTTCCCTCACCCTCTCGTGGTTTTGGAGACTAACAGCCCTTTTTTGCTACTTTTGCTAGAAATGGGTCCAGGGGCTTCTCTGACCAGCCTGTGAGGTGATATCACCGGCTTAAAAATATCACAAGCCCCACATGTGAAACTGCACAGATCGCAGCGTCCTCTCTGCAGAGCTGTGCTACCCTGCGGCAAATACCATTTTCTTGAGTAATTTGTCTTTGGACCAGAACGGGGCAGCACAACCCAGACAAATCCAGGCAGAGAGTGCATGTGTCCCGACTGAGCGGCATTTCTGTGAAAACCCCACACGTTTTGGGGAAAACAGTCTTTAGTGCTGCTAGCGGCATTGAGAGCGGCTGCAGAGCCCTGCCAGTTGTGTAGTCAATTGTTGAGAGTCTCACTTTGTTAAACATGGATCTGGAAGCCTTCCCAGACTATGCATCTGCCCCTCCAATTCAAGACCTAAGAGGCTGTAGCTGAATGGGGAGATAATGAGTAAATACATTCCCAGCGACTGCTTTGGGAGGGGAATTAATGAACCATTATCTTTTTCTCTTGAGCTCCGAGTGGTCCCTACCTCCCATTTCTCCCCTCCAAAATCAAGCTATTGGGTAGATGCTAGACACAAGCAAACACGGACACCTGTGTGCCAGATGCACAGCCCCACGTATACACGGGGCCCCCCCGGAGCCTTTTACAGAGCTTACCGCAGCGACCCTCCCCGGGGGTCAGACAGACCGTGTGCTGCAGGATTAAGGAACGACATGATGCCTTCTCCTGCCAGGCTCCTGAGTACTTGCCCACGCAGCGAGGGCAGAAACAGGAGTTGGCTATGAGGGGTGATGCTGCTCTGGGAGCTGAGCGGCGATGACGGGACTTCTGGCAACGCCGGGCAGTCGCTGCAACTCCTGCAGACCCGAACTGCACTCATTTGGATACCAGATAAATGAGTTGCCCAGGCTGTGGGTACTATTTGCAGGTGATGTTCGTGGGTGTGTTGGAAGCCTAACTCAGCTACAATAACATAACACCCAAATGTGAAAATAATAGTCTAGATAATGTAACAGCAAGAGGACTTAGCATGAGACGTGACATGTGGTGAAAAGGGAGGCTCTAGGCTGAGTTGTTCTAATGAGAGGCTGTCAGCATTTGAAAGAGCTTAGTCAAGTGTAGGACACTATTCAAGCAGAGGAAGAATTTCTGTACTGTGCAGCATTCAAGAGATAGGAGATCCTGAGCAAAAATGTGTGTGTGTGAGAGACCGGCAGACCGGGAGAGGAGGAGGGGTGGCACAAAGGAACAGA